AACGCTTTTAACAAAGATTATAATTCAGTGCCTAAAGAAAAATAGTATTTCCCTGAATATAAGTTCTTAATTTGGTATTTCTGACATGGTCACATTTATAACTCGGTATTTGAATATTTCAAACATTGTCGCATTTGTGCCCTGGATATTGTGGTATTCCTGACATTGTTACATTTTAATTTGTTATGTAGTATTTCTGACATTGTTTACAGTTAGTATTTTAGTACTTCAGATAGCATCACTTTTATAACCTGGTATTTCAGTACTTCTGACATTGTTCACATTTGGTATTTTAGTACTTCTGACATTGTTTACATTTGGTATTTTAGTACTTCTGACATTGTTTACATTTAGTATTTTAGTAATTCTTACATTGTTTACATTTGTTATTTTAGTAATTCTGACATTGTTCACATTTGGTATTTTAGTACTTCTGACATTGTTTACATTTAGTATTTTAGTACTTCTGACATTGTTTACATTTAGTATTTTAGTACTTCTGACATTGTTTACCTTTAGTATTTTAGTACTTCTGACATTGTTTACATTTAGTATTTTAGTACTTCTTACATTGTTTACATTTGTTATTTTAGTAATTCTGACATTGTTTACATTTAGTATTTTAGTACTTCAGATAGCATCACTTTTATAACCTGGTATTTTAGTACTTCAGATAGCATCACTTTTATAACCTGATATTTTAGTACTTCTGAAATTGTTCAAATTTGGTATTTTAGTAATTCTGACTTTGTTTGCATTTAGTATTTCAGATAATATCACTCTGGTAACCTGGTAGTGTAGTTCTTTTGACATCGTTTACATTTGTAATCTGGTATTTCGCACATTTTTTTTTTTACAATTATAGCCTAGAGTTTTGGTATTTCTGACATTACCACATGTGTTGTCTGGTAATATGATATTTTGAAGTCTTAGCATTCCTTAGAAGCTCAGTATTAGACAATAGTTTTTCTTGTATCTCGAAGAAATAATAGATTTGAAATTGGCTGTTTAGAACAGGTGGTAATTGGATATATGCCACAACTGAATTGCACGAGTGTGCAGTTTTAAATACGTCGTTTTCAATACTTAGGACACAAACTACTTCCTCCCGTGATCCTCTGGTGAAAAGTTTAGAGTGCTGATCGACTGTTTGTTCTAATTTTAAACGGAAGAAACGGGATGCAGAGCACAACCGCTACTTCGTGCCAATGAATAAGTATATAACCGTTACTTAAAAGAATGACAAGCACTGTCGAGAATTTATGTACTGATTGTTTTATTTTAACATTCTTATGTAGACACATTCAACATTGTTTGTTTTCCTCTTCATTTTTTTTTTCATTTCACTGACTCATTTCGCTCTTTTCGTGATGGTAAATCAAAATACAAAGCTGAACACAACCTGTTTATTTAACTAGTTAGACACGTTTCCTACGCTAAACTATACTTGACGTTGTTTATATTATGTTTATAGTTATCAGTGTTTCTGAATCTAAAGCTTAATTCAACACTGTTAATATAATATTTATGGTTATCAATATTTTTGAAGCTAAAGCCTAATTCAATACTGTTAAAATAATGTTCATGGTTATCAATATTTCTGAAGCTATCGCTTAATTAAAGACTGTTTATATCAAGTTTATTCTTATCAATATTTATGAAGCTAAAGTTTAATTAAAGACTGTTTATATTAAGTTTATGTTTATCAATATTTCTGAAGCTAAAGCTTAATTAAAGACTGTTTATATTAAGTTTGTGTTTATCGATATTTATGAAGCTAAAGTTTAATTAAAGACTGTTTATATTAATTTTATGTTTAACAATATTTCTGAAGCTAAAGCTTAATTAAAGACTATATTAAGTTTATGTTTATCGATATTTATGAAGCTAAAGTTTAATTAAAGACTGTTTATATTAAGTTTATGTCCATCAATATTTATGAAGCTAAAGCATAATTTAACACTATATAAATATTTAACAACATATTTTAATCTAAAACTTAATCCAGCACTGTTTAGGCCAATAGTTAACAATGCCTAATTTCATTCAACACAACTGATGTCAATCTATATAAATAATACGCTTGCATTTGTTTATCTGGAACTTTTCTCGTAAATTTCTCTATCAAACGCCACAAATCTCATATTATTAAAAATGCCTTTGTCCGGATTGCATATTGGCGTTTCCGTTCAGAATCACCTTACCTGATTTTTGCTTAATCAAAATTTTTAATGCAACAAGTATGCTACACGATAGCATAATGTCGTTGTCATCACGTGACGACTGGTTTCGATTTCAACTTGAGTTGTTTTATTTGCAAAGTATTTCACACAAGAAACACTTAACTCTTGAGTGATTTCCTAAAAGAAAATGAATATTACACTACATACAATTGCTATGGGTTTTCTCGACTTATTTAAGTCTAAAATACTCATGTGCAGTTCATTCAAAACCATATGTTTATCACTTTGTGAACATGCATTCAGACGTTTCTGCATATTCAGCTCAGTTTGCCATCATTGCAACTTTACATTTATTTTACTTTGCAATAATTTAGTACAGGTTTTATTCTTCGTTTTTGTTAGTTTCTTTGTTTCAACTCATAAAACCTTGTCATTCACTGAACGCTCATAACTGTTTCATAGTCTGTAAACTATTATAAATACCATTAATATCCTTTATTTTTTATTTTAAGTGTAGTCTTATTAAATAAAGTTACATCTAAGTTAGTTTGTTTGTCTGACCGCGTCAAATTTTTTCAAAGAGACGAGGATTTATTGATCTAACGCAATCCCTGGAAGAAATCTTAGTTTAAATGCCGTGCGTGAAAATGATAGAATAAGGGAAATTTAAGCGAAAGGCGTGAAAACTACTGCAAATATTTTGCGTGTCGTGAATAATATTTAATAGCAAATTTCGAACAAAAACTTCATTCAGCACTGTTTTATATAACAACATATCTTAATCTAAAACTCAACACTATGATATAAATATCTAAGAACATACTTCAATATAAAACGTAATCAAGCACTATTTATGTAAATAGTTAATTGCATTTAACTTTATCAATGCTTCATCTAATGATATACTTCGCTCAAAAACTTCATTGAACACCGTTTATGTAAATACTTAACAACACTGAATCATACAACTCTATTTATACAAACAATAAATAGCTTTTCCACATTTAAACTTAATTCAACATTTTGAATGTTAAAAGCCCGTAATGTTTAATCAAAGTCAAACGAGTCTATGGGGTAGTTATCTGTTAAGAGTCAAGTACATAATATATATTACGATTCAACTAGTTAATATCCATTACGAGTCTAATAAGTGATATGCGTCACGAGTCTAATATATGATATCCGTTAATTGTCTACTAGGTAATATCCGTTACGAGTTTACCAGGTAATATCCGTTCCGTATCTACTAAGTAATATCCGTTACGAGTTTATCCGTTAAGAACCTTCAATGTAATACCTATTACTAGTTTAATAGGTGATATCCGTTACGAGTCTACAATATAATATCCGTTTCAAGTCTAAAAAGTGATATCCATTCTCAACGACTAGCTATACGGTCCGGTACTGAAATAGTTTGCAACTGCGGTGCCTAGCTAGTCGAAAACTTAGTCTGACAGCTAATGCAAGTTTTAAATGTTTTACATTACTCTCGCCAGTTTGTTTAGCATAGCATACCTTACCATTGTCACGTTCAGCACACAGAAACCAAGTTCTAAAGTAAAACAAAAAAAGGTTGAACTACTAATGGCTGAGCTAAGAAATATTTATTTTAATCATTGCTGGTATTGTAAACTAATCACAACATTCGATCTGATACGAAATGATGGAAAAACTTTTTTTTTTATTTCGCAAGATTGTGTCTAATTCTTCAATAAAAATAACATTCTCCCCTACACATGACGAATTATTTTGGTATTGTTCTGTTACTGTAGATTTAAACTTTGGTTTATTTTATAGCTGTACTCTAAGGTGAAAAATAATATTAACAGAAAAATATTTTGTTAATAACAATAGAACAAATATATATATATATATAAATCAAAAGAGTTTGAAAGAGGATTATTGTCACAGCTGGGGGTCTCGTTTCCTTATCAACGGCCCCCAGTGGCACAGAGATATGTCTGCGGACTTACACTGCTAGAAACCAGGTTTCGATACTCGTGGTGGGCAGAACACAGATAGCCCATTGCGTAGCTTTGTGCTTATCTACAAACAAACAAGCCGTATCAAAGACTGTACGTGAGAGTTTGATTACATCTTTATTGGTGTAAATTTTAAATGTAGTACTGAGAAACTGGGGTTCTTAAAAAATTACTTTTTCAATACCATTTGGTACCACTTTTAACATATAAAACATTACAGTTTATATCAGTAAAATTTATGAAAATTTTTAGCCCTGTATATTGAATCATGTTGATGCAATGAGTTGCGTGTGACTAAAGAGCACAATCCGAACACTTTTCTCAGAAAAACTATCCCTTTAAGAAAATATTCACTTATTCCTAAATTTTTTCAATGAGGTATGAATATTACGATTAATAACTGGTAGCACAAACAGCCGCCCTACGAGCAGAGTTTCTTCTAGTACCATCTAATCTGAAAATAACTTTCAACACGTCCTTAAGTAACCAAGAGCGTAAAGAGCTGATTTAAAGTCACTTTGCTTCTTCGTACCTTTATCTAAATACACTTTTCGACACGAACATGCGTAACCAAGAACGTAAAGAACTGATTTAAAGTCACTTTGCTTCTTCGTACCTTTATCTGAATACACTTTTCGACACGAACATGCGTAACTAAAATTAGTAAAGAATTCAAAGTCACTTTGCTTCTTCCTACCTTAATACTATCTAATCTGAAGATAGTTTTCGACAAGTATTTACGATATTAAGACGGTAAAGAACTCAATTAAAGTCACTTTGCTTCTTCATACCTTAATACCATCTAATCTGAAGACAATTTACATCGTATACTTACATGCTAAGATGATAAAGGACTGGTTTAAACCCATGTGGTCTCTCCAGAAAGTTGTAGATCATGGTTTGTTTCTTCCTGTATCGGACGTCTCGAGATCGGTTAAAGGATTTGATTGGTTTACCCAGTAGGTTAGTACGGGATATCTGAAATTGTGAGCTCGTGGATCCACAGTCTAACCTTCCAAGTTCTAACCTCTCCACAAAGCCAGCACGAGATTCACCTGCTAACTCCCCAATGGTTCTGTGTCTTTGTGGTGACATTGTAATTTCTTGTAGAACTACAACAGTTTCTTATAACAAGAGTTCTACTGTATACAGAAATTCTGGCTCATGGTATGATGTTGTCTATAAAGACTGTTGCTGATTCCTGTTGCTTCTTGCCCCCCCCCCTAAACATCTATCTGGTTTTCCGAAACAAACCGTACATTCACTTGCAGTATATTTGTTTAAAGTATGTCAAATTCTTTAAATATATAAATACATTATATTTTCTCTGAAAACGAATAAAACTGAAAAAGTAATAAGAATTCAGTATTATTTTATCTTTTCTCTGATCTAACTGGCTGGTACACATTAGCATCCATTTTAACAATACCAACTGTTTTCACACTTATGTGGGAAAATACAAGTCTGATCGAGCTACTGGTTCATATTAACATCCACTTCGACGCTACCGTTTTCACACTACAATACAAATCTAATCGAGCTACTGATACACATAAACATCCACTTCGACGCTACCGTTTTCACACTACAATACAAATCTAATCGAGCTACTGATGCAAATTAAAATCCACTTCGATGATATCAAATGTTTTCACACTTATGAGAACAATACAGGTTTGATCGAACTAATGTTGCACATTAACATCCAATTCGATGATGTCAAATGTTTTCACACTTATGAGAATAATGTAAGTTTGATCGAGCTAATGTTGCACATTAACATCCACTTAATTAATACCATCAGGTGCTGTCACATTTACCTGAACAATAGTTCGATCAAGTTAACTAGTTCATTCACATTAACATCCACAATACCATCTGTTATCGCATTTATGTTCACAATGTCCAGCTGATCTCGCTAACACATTAACATCCACTCTGATGATGTCGACTAATGTCTCCTTTTCCCTGCACGCTATGAATCTGCGTTAGTTTTATGGTTCTCGCATTAAAATATTTGCAGCGATTTTTTTAAGCAACGATTTCAGTCTAATTCGGGTAACTGATAAAGATAAATATTAATCTAGGTTTTTGTCTTTTTTCAACTTTGTGCGATTAATCATTAATGCTAGAACGTCCAATCTTAACTCGTGTGAAGATTCAGTAATTCCAACCTATTCTTCCAAATGCTATCGTTATCTAAAAGTTCCTAGTGCATCCAACGCCTGTTGACGTGGTAAGAACACACTCGGTACTGCCGAAATCAGCGCGCGTCACAATCCGAATGTGCGTGAAGGAAACAAGCCTTTCTTCATGTTAAAATCCTGGTGGCGCTCCTGTTGAAATAATCCTTAACGTCGAAAATCGGCGGGAAATCGAACAGAGATATGGGTCTTGTATAGCATAGTAAAAGTGTTCGCATTGGCATTATCTACTTACGACGTAAATCATGCTTGTTACAACCCGCTATCATTAGTTTTTGCTGTTCTTTCTTGTTTTTTTGTATTATTGACTTTTTGGGAGTTACTTGTAATATCACACACCAGCTCAGCAGAGTGCTACCCGCCCTGGCAACCTAGTTGGTAATTACCTTACCGACTCAATTCAACAGTAACATATGAACATGATTTGTATGGAAATTATCCTTATAGGACAGATAAAACACAGTTTAATCCTCAAAGTGAACACCACCCTATTTCCCGGAAACGATGGTTTCACAAAATGCATATCGATCCTTCTTCGTGGAATACAAAGTAGGTAAACATTCACCGAGTTCCTTTCAACAACCATGAAAAACAAATGTGTAGGCTAGGTGAAAGTACTTATGAAACTCTAGAAATTTGGATGAAAGCGTAATTTGAGTTAAAACAGGTAGATTTTCAATTTTGCAGAACGTTGTATAGATATACTTAGTAAGAATCGCAAATAGGGACAAGTAAATAAATAAATAAACGAAAAACTTATCTTAGGTACCTTGGGAAACATTTAATACAAATAATCCTGCGTATTTAAAGTTTAACTCTTTCACTGCCCTTATTGGGTGCACGAATGGCCCCTTTTAGAGCTCTGCCATGGAAATTTGAAATTGTGTACCATTGTGAAGAAAGGGTTATTTCTCTTCAAATTTATTAAAGTTTACCTTCTTCCAATTTCAGACAAGTTACGACACATTAAGACGTGGGTCACTTTTGTTGTTGTTTTTATTGTGTATTTAAAAATAAACCTGACTCTAAGGGGGGGTGGGTGTTTATCTATAAAAGTGACAGTGAAATAGTTAAGCGGTAGAAGTTAGGCTCGTTACTCGTATATTGATAATCTACGAATTAAATATAAATGTACAGAAAATTTTTAAAAATCTCCATATTATACTTATCTTTCTACACAACAATATGGATAATGTGATAGGCTTTTCCAAGATGCGCTGTAAAGCACTTCCAGTATACTTAAACTTGGACAAATTAATATGGCCGAACCACTTTCTGTTACCATGGTAACGATTGCCGACCTAATTGACCAACACTAAACTGTGTACTTAGTGTATTGCGTGATACTGGTTCACATAGTACAGTACTTCTAAGCTTTGTATTGTAGTCAGCCTGATCGTTAGGGAGAGTTGATTACTGGTTGAAAGGTCAGACACTAAGTGTGTCACATCTACACAAAATAAAAAAATTAAAAATAAACGTAAAAGAAGTGGAAGTTAAGAAAGATTATATTTTCATATATTCATTGAAAGAAATGAATCCGGTTCTGCTGAAACGCGCGTTATCTTCTCAGGAAATGAATCTGGTTCTGCTGAAATGCGCGTTACCTTCTCAAGACATTAATCTGATTCTACTGAAACGCGCATTACTTTCTCAGGAAATGAATCTGGTTCTGCTGAAACGTACGTTACTTCCTCATTCTAACCTGTTTGGAACTCCCGCTCAGAATGTTAAAGACTATCTCCAGTTTATTAATATCGTCATTTGTCAAAAACTTTCTAGAAACTTAAAATAAGCTCCTCTCATACTGATAACAGTCTCAGCAATTCAATCGTATAAACAAATATAAGATTATGTATATTCCAATAAACAAATCGAATGTAGAGAAGAAAACTCAAACTTGTTGTAATATATTGTTAAGACCGCGGAAGTCACGTGACGCTGTGAGCATGCGCGCTAGAGTTTCTCGAATTATCGGGGAGCCCCGCGAATGTCCGAGTGTTTGCTAGACACCCTCTTTTTTTAGTATTGTTACGTATCTGCTCGTTTGTTAATTTCCGGTATAAATTCTTTCCGAGGAACTTCAGCGATACAAGTCCTTTCTTAATTAAAACTAGTTTATTCTTTCTTGATACAACTTTTTGTAATACACAGAATTTCCACAGTCACTTTAAACTTAAAATCCTTTATAACACACGCTATAAATCACAGTGATTCAGACACTTTACTTACGGTGCCTACTGTTCGCTTGACTCAGTTAGCTATCTCACTGCAGTAGCCTCTCTTCTTGCTTCTTTTCTTTCTTCTCCAACCACTGCTGTAGTCTATCTTGTTCATTTTCTCGTTCTTCTTGTTTCTTTTCTTTTTCCTCCAACAACTGCTGTAATCTCTCTTCTTGTTTATTTTCTCGTTTTTCTTGTTTATTTTCTTTCTCTTCCAACCACTGCTGTAATCTCTCTTCTTGTTTATTTTCTCGTTCTTCTTGTTTCTTTTCTTTCTCCTCCAACCACTGCTGTAATCTCTCTTCTTGTTTATTTTGCTGTTCTTGTATTGCTGCCATCACAATATGCTAAGCTATAGTTTGATTTGCCTCTTATCGTGTCCATCTTTTTTTTCCATCCCACTCCTGTCACCAATTTGTTACGTATCTCCTCGTTTGTTAATTTCCGGTATAAATTCATTCCCAGGAACTTCAGTGATACAAGTCCTTTCTTGATTA